ACAACAAGGTGAGAACAGTTTAAGGTAGAAACTCCTACCTTTCTTGTTTGCACTTGCTTGGAGCCATTGTTCATTAGTGCAGGTGTGCATTGTGCAGATTATCATTTGTAATTCTCCTATGTATTTCGGAATGTTAACGACGATTTCGCGACCTTGCTATGACGTAGTATGGCAATCACGAAATCTGGAACACCACAAAGGTGTCTCGTGGCCAAGACATGGCAGTTTTGTGTTCTTCGCAGAACCAATACTGCAAGATAACATGCACCAACCTCACACCGATTCAGCAGGCCGCTACACGAAGAAAAGAAAACAAGAACGGTACAGAAAATCACTGTCACCCAAATCAATTCACACCGTCACGAATTCTTCTGTATAAAAGTATCGTACATTGCATTCGATAGGTGTTACGTAATAATTACGTTGTTGATGTGCGCTGTATATACGTGAGTGATGAAATTAAAAAGAAGCGTCACCCTGCATAGCATTATGATAAATACCGAACGCTGCAAATGTACTGTAGTTGTTGCATTTCAGACAGGCAGCAAAGCGTCATAGCTGCGGATAAGGACCTGTTAATAAATTAACTGGCGACGTGTTGGAAGCGCACAAGCACCTGTACGTACGGTCAGTTGCGGATGACGACGATTGGTCGATCTGGTACGTACCTCGGATGTCCTAGAGAACTCGGGTGCGGTGATGATTTGAAATTGTCGTAGGCGAAGTAGGGCGTGCGCGTCGAGGCGGCAGCGAAACCGCGGCTAAGCGGATTTAATCCGGTCAGCCGCGTAAAGGCGGATGGGTCCGCGGCCATGCCAGCGGCCATGCTAGCAGCGGCCATGCTCGAAGCGATGCCGGTCGGTGTGTAGGCACAGGTCTGTGGCTGCATCATGTGGTTGTGTGCAGAGAAAGAATCTGAAAACGTTCAATTCACAACAGTCAGCCGATGCACGTGCGCAAGGTTCCGGTTCCTCATCGAACCACTTACTAAACGGTAAAGCACTGGCGGATGCCTGGTCACCACAGGAGTCGAGAATGGTCGGCATGGCGCACATCGGGTTCTCCCTGACCCAAATGTGCTCGTCGCCGCCGGTCAGCATCTTGGCCGGTTTTTTGTCCGCATGTTTGGTCATGTGCTTGGCGAGGTACGTCGCCTGTGTGTACGACTTGCCGCAGTAGGGGCAAATGTGCACCTTCAAGTGCTTCGACTCCTTGTGTTTCGGGATGTGGTCCAGCAGCGACTGCTCATCACAGAAACACTTGTAGCAACTGAAAAGAAAACAACCGTCAAAACAACCAAACGACAGAACAATTTTTTTCTATGCTTTTTTCGTGATTAAACCAGCCACGTCTTCAAAGGGTCACACGCTCGATCCACTCGCAAAAGCAGAATCGTTCAAATACGCTTCGCCGGATGAAGTCACAACTTCAC